ATTTGTCTTGATGGTGGGAGAATCAGAAAATCAGCTCCCCTGGTTCTTCACAAATTACAGTCTACTAAATAGTTGTTGGGATAATTCAGTCAATGACGTGATGGGCAGACAATCCCTTGAGTCACGCTGCCAGTATGGCTGAAAACATGTTGTGGAACATCACAGTGAGACTTAAGATAATTAACAGATAGTAACGAGGGGCAGAGAAGAATAGAAAGGAAGTGACTGTAACGGAATAAGAAAGAGGGGGGGAAAGGGCAGCAGAGAAAAGGGCAAAGAGAAAACAGCAAGTTGGCAGGAGTTTCACAGGAGCAAAGCCCGAGGCCGAGCCAGTGAGGTGTAAGTAGCTTCAGAATAAACATGAGCTCCATGTAAACAACAACCTGCCACTACAAGCGTCGGATACGCACCCACACAGGCCTGGTGGGGTTCTGGATTCACTGATGTGTGTTTTCATGTGTGTAGCAAACACTTGGGCGTCCCTGGGGCTGAAAGCCTTGCCTGTCATCCTCCCATCACTCGTCTCTCTACCCACTTACATCCATAAGCCTGTCATGTTGATCAAGTAGCCGCAGGCCCAGAGCCTTTTGTGACTGTCAAAAGTGTGCACGTGAATGTTTGACTGTATAATTATAACCCGATTTTCAGTCTGTGTCTGCAGCGTACAGAACAGAAGAGCAGCGAATTAAACAAAAAAAAAACTTTACCTTGAATTCAGAGGCTATTGTGTTTGTGTGACTCACTGCTTCAGTCTGACCTGTTTATTATGCAGTCAGAGTTGAGAGAGAAGAAGGAGGAACTTCTTTCTCCTCCAGATTTATTCATGATGAATGGCTTTCATGTTCAGAGCAGCATGGCGGCTGAGACTTCTGTGGAGTCGGAGTGACAGAGGATATGTGTCAAAGTAGGATACCATGTGCACAATCCTCAAAGTACACAGAGCGCATACGGTGTTGACCAAAGTGCAAATGCTGTGTTGCGTCAGAAAGAGCAAATATCCATTGCTTATTGTAAAAATCTGGCATGCCAACGCTCTGATTATCGCTCTGACTATCAACACAATTAATAAAGTTAAGCTATATATATATATATATATATATATATTATAGTACAGGCCATTTATATGGATACACCGTAATAACATGGGAATGGTTGGTGATATTAAAGTTCTGTTTGTGGCACATTAATATATGTGAGGGGGCAAACTCCTCAAGATGGGTGATGACCATGGTGGCCATTTAGAAGTCGGCCATCTTGGATACAACTTTTGTTTTTTCAATAGGAAGAGGGCCATGTGACACAAACAAAACCACCGCTATTGGTCTGACACTAACCCACATTGGATGGATCCCTCCAAGACTGTTGGAACAACAAAAGTGATGGTTTGGTGTGGTATATGGGGTACAACGATAGTGGGTCCATTCTTCATCAATGGAAACATCAAGGCCACTGGATATTTGAAATTGCTACATGATGATGTGTTTCCCTCTTTATGCACTGAATCTGGCACGTTCCCTCAAGATGGTGCACCACCACATTATAGGTGCCAGGTCCGAGCATTCCTAGATGAACAGTTTCCTGGAAAGTGGATTGATCATTGTGGGCCAGTTGAATGGCCCCCAAGGTCTCCCGATCTGACCCCCTTGGACTTTTATCTTTGGGGTCATCTGAAGGCAATTGTCTATGGTGTGAAGATACGAGATGTGCAGCACCTGAAACTACAGATACTGGATGCCTGTGCTGGCATTTCTCCTGCGGTGTTGCTATCAGTGTGTGAAGAGTGGGAGAAGTAGGGTTGCATTGACAATCCAACACAATGGGCAGCACACTGAACACATTTTATAAGTGTAAATAACTCATGAATAACTCATGAAAGAATAAAGTTACATTGAAACCAAGGAAAGGAAATGTCTAGAGATCGTGACTTAAATAACAAAAAGACTGGAGGTGGCAGAGTTGAAGATGTTAAGACTTTCATAACAAGTGGAGAAGATTGGCAAGACTAGAAATGAATACATCAGAGGGACAAAGTTTGAGAGGTAAGGCTGAGATGGTTTGGACATGTGTAAATAAGGGATAGTGGATATATTGGACAATATATTGCTGGTAGAAGAGAAGACCACAGGGTTTGTGGATGCTGTGAAGCAGGACATGCAGAGAGTTGGTGTGACGGAGGACGACGCTCAAGATAAGGTGAGATGAAGGCAGATGATCTGCTGTTTTTAACAAATTACAGTGGAGTAAATCAGCAGTGATGTGCTGGAGCTGCACTCTGTTTTGATAAAAACTAACTTAGCACCTCTATGAATGAAAACAGTTTAATTCCCTCTTAAAAGGTGAGATGATGGAGAGCAGTTGATGTTGACCTGCTATAGCATAGTATGGCTTTAATTCTGGAAAAAGAAAAGCTTTGTCACTTTTAATTTGAAAGTCTCAATATACATGATTATGTTATTTGATTTGGTTTAGAAGACACAGCTGATTGCTTAAAGGTCTCCATCCACCCTGAAGTGACGCTACCACTGTCTGCCATCAACGAGACCCATGCTGGGATAGGTTTCTCAAAGGCAAGCACAGAAAATGACGCAGTGATTCAATCATTTGGCATTTGATTAGCGTACCTGATGCAATAAGAAAAGTTTATATTAATAGGAAAAGGAAGCTAAATATGCAGATAAGTTTACATAAAAAAGTGAAACTGTGAAAAAAAGGGTACAATCAGCATAACATGAACTCTGTGTTAGCTTCTTTGTACCATCACCTTTGCCACAAACACTGTTTGTATCTCAAATACACAAACGGTCTCATTGGTGTCCCCCATAACCCACCCTCCAGGACCCTGGGGCCCAATAAGCAGCCATCTGCAGACAACCTCTTCCACCACGCTCTGGCAAACATGGGCGAGTGCGTGCGTGTTTGTGTGTGTGAGAGAGAGAGGCAAAAAGGGGAGGTAGAGACAGTTCAAGGGCACGAGTACTCCATCAAGTTGAGTCCAGGGAATAGCCACCACCTTCCCTGGCCCCTCCCGTGTGTGCACCAGGTGAGCACCGAGACCTGTCCTTGGTGCTCGCCTGAATACACACAGTACGGTGCACTGATTACTTCACACCACACGCGCTCTTCAGTTTGAATTTGACCCTCTGCTGCTTCGCTGCAGCCTCCGTGTGGCAGCCCCAGTCTTCTTGCCCGTGGCCCCAGCTGACTCCCGGCTCTGGCGTGGGTGGTTGGGTGGGGTGGCGTGGGGATTTGGGGGCACTGAAGCTGTCCTCTGGTGCTCTTGCAGCCCTGCCTGCTCATCCATCCTAGCCTGCCAGCCCACAGATCGATAGCTCTGCTCTCTTAATCAGGTCTCTGGTGACTGTGGGCGGACGAGTGCGTGTGTGCGTGTGTTTCTGTGTGTGGACAGAAGGTTGTATCAGCTGGGGGCTGCACTTGTATTTCTTTCTATCTTCAGTCCTCTGACTCTTCACCACGACTGTTTATCTCAACCGTATCGCCTTGGCTCATTCTCCTCGTTGCTTATTGCCCCGGCCGTATCACTTACTTCATGCCCTTTGCTGACTTTATTTTTTGCATATTAATTTCTTTCACCCTCATTTTCACAGCTGTTGTTAGAAATCCAATCACTGTGACAGTCCTGCATCGTATTTTTGTCTTCTTTCCCTGGCTTTACTTACATCTCTTCACACGCTCTCTGCACACTCTGGCGGCACGCCAGGGTTCATCCGAGAAGAGTCTCACAGCCGAGTCGGTCCCGGTACCACTGCAATTTGTCGTAACTCGTGATGAAGACAGAAGAGGTTAGACATTTTAGGAATGGAGATGAGAACCGATGAGAGGTGAGAAGAGCGAGCGGAGCGAGAGGGTTAGTCAGATGGAGTGCGGGGCATCCAGCTGTGGTGTTGTGCCTTGCTAGAGAATCCGCCTTCAGGCTCTCATTGCACCTGCATAGCCACAGCTGCACAGACACAGTGTAACACTCTTTGGGGGTAAAAAAACCTTCCAAAACACTTTTTAATTAAAAATCTCCAAAACTTTTTAATTTTCCTATGAAAACTGTTATTCCAAGTGCATCAGTGTGTTTACAAAACTAAATCAACCCAACAGTGTTCATCGTCTTTCTCCTGATTTACCACTGCACCGGATTTCATTTTGTTTAGTGCAGGTTTAATTAACCATGATCCTTGATTCTGGTTACACCACTCTACCACAAAAAGCTGTCATTGTGCATTCTCTGATCACACCATTTTCACTAATCAAACATCAGAATATTTCAATAAGAGCACATTTACCAAACGCTGCTTCTGGGTTTGAGCATTTTTTTAGTGGAGCATTTGAAAATCCTGGTCATCACGATCCATGCACACCACAGCTAGCTGTTCCCCTCTCATTAATGCAGATTGAAGAGCGGACCCCTCAGTTTCGCTGGGTGCAAAACACTTCACAAAGTGTTTGAAATTTCATATTTATTCTTTGTTTTCCAAGAGCTGCCACAAACATTTGCAACCGATTCACTTTTTTTTTTTTTTTAGCTCTGAAAAGGTCCTCTACGAACTTTTCATTGTGGGAAAGTAGCATAATTTGAAAGCACACTCACAATTGAAGTGTTTGGTTTTTTTATATGATAAGTACTTCAGTAGAAGACAAAGGGTCTTCTTTTTGATTCCTGAAGACAAGAAGTTCCCTCAAGTTTGAATCAAATCTTTTGGACCTAAGTCATGACCTGGATAACAGCAAACATGTACAGAAACACTGTTTATACCACACCTTTTTGAAGCTAATATGGCTAATTTTGTGTCACTAACACTGTGTCTCTTTGCAGAGGTTCTGTTCAATACTGCCCTAAACAAATATCAGACTGATGATTTCCACAGTTTTCTAATGTCACAGAAGAGTAAAAAGTGGTAGACAGTAAACATGTTTGCCCAGCGACTGAACGATGGTACTACTTGCTCACTGCAACTACTTGCATTTAGTTAGTTACAGTTAGTTACATTTCTGTGATCTGGCTTTCTGTGTTTGAAGACAGCAATGTATTTACCATTTTTCCTGATACATCTGATTTTTGCATTTATTTGCCAACTTGACCCCATTCACTCGCAAACTGTGAAACTGGCTGTCTCCTTTTTATTTGCCATTTTATCAGTCTTGATGCACCAATGTTGTTTTGAAGATGGCAGCTGATCGCAAGTGGTTACATACCTGTTCAAGGTCACGAGGTCACAAGTTCATTGCACACAGTCGCAAAACCTTTGATTATGATGTGCCCTCCGCTGTGTATTACATTTTACATATAAATTATATTTATAGTGTATTTATAGTTGCGAATAAGTTTCCTCAAATGTTAGCTTCCACGATGTTCCATGATGTCTTCATCTACTTTTCTGCCTCCTCTCTGTCTACCTGTGTGCAGAGAAACAGCCGTGTTTCTCTCTGCTGATGTACACCTGCAGTTCTTTATCCAGGCACCTGTATGTTGTCATGCAACTTTTCCAGTCATGAGAAGAATAGTCGCAGGAGGTCCTTCTTGTTGACCTTGCCCATCTGATTCCTCGGCATCTCCTCTACCACCACCAGGCCTGTAGGTATGGTGTAGGGTGCCATGTGCTCCCTGCAATAAACACCACTGTTAATATGGATGCACACACAAATACGCAACAACAACAACAACAACAAAAAAAGAAAAAAGAAAAAAGAGCAAACAACTGCAAAACAAAGGCTAGCCCTGTGGCGGAGTAGTCGAGATAAGGAAACGTCCTTCATACACTCTGCTGTTCTTCTCCCTTAATATCCCCAATTCGCCTTCCAGACACAGACAATCCCCCTTCGTACAAAAACAATATAATCACTGCAAGATGAAATAAAAAAATAAAAATAAACAAATAATAAAAAGGGAAAACAGAAGGCTGTGATAATTAAAAGTGTTTTATTTTTTTCCGTTTTGAATGCCTGGTTGTTACGTCAAGTCTTGAAGCCCGGAGCTTTTTTTATTATCTTCTAACCTAGTTTGTTTGTTTGTGCGGACGTGCGCGTGCTTTGGTGTGTAATCCAGTTGTGCGTGTGTGCGAGCATAATGACTGATATGACCGCCATCAAACACTCCTTTCAGCAGATGTCCGCGTGTTTCTGACTGAGTGAGTGAAGTGTGAATATATACGCATACGTACACGTCTCTGTAACAGGGGCTTGCGTGCTTGTGTCGCCGATTTCTCCAGGGCAATGTGTTCCTGTGTGTCTGCGTGCACGGGTGCGCGCGCACAAGCCTGAGCGTTCGAGGCGGTGTGAGGCAGTGAGGGTGAGACAGAGATTCAGACTGACAGCTGAAGCCAGGGCACTGAAGAGTGAGCATCCATCTACTTGTTTATGTCTCATTTTATCTCTTTCTCGCTCTCCCCTACACCCAGGCCTCAGCAGAGGGCT